AATAACCACGAAAGTACTAGCTACATAATATGTTTCAAATATATACAAACCAAGCACACATATATGATCTGTTACACCTAAAGTAATAGAGAAAATCTATCTGTACACTTGTATATTTATATTTGTGTATAGTAGACATCGAATTTGAAAACGACAAAGCGTAATGACATAACACATTATCGCACGGATGCGACGACAACGTAAAACAAAACCACAATTATAACCACATTTTTCAGAGGAGCATCACTCGGCGGCTATTCTACATGTAAGTTGGGTTAGCTGACCGTAAAACCTTTTTTTTGTATTGCAAGTTTAGTTATGTTTGTATTTGTGTAACAAAAGGACATTTCAAAGTGATTAGTGCACTTGAAACCACAACTTTTTGGTGCTGCCACCGTCACTGGCTGAACTAATCAAAATGACTAAGTGATGTCACATGGATGTGAACACAATGTAATGGCGAGATCAAAGTTATAATGGCATTCTCCTAAGGAGTTGTAATATTGTTAAACAATGAACTTAGAGTCAGTGTTTACGTGTGACCCTGAAATTTTAGAATTAAATAACATTGCTTTAAGTGGTGATTTCCTCCATGAGGTCCATAAGTCTGCACTAGAAACAAATTTTCAAACACAATAGAGTACTCTACTTTAAGTACTGGTTGATCATAGCCAAGCAGTCTAATTAACATGGTCTCCTAAATTGTGAATAGTGAAATTTTGTATGGACCGCTAGAAACTAGAACGTTTACAAAATGTGTGGCGCCATTTGGATGGTCTGATGTCATTGGTCCGCGGATATCTGATATGGGTGGTCAGAAATTAGAATGGATACAAAGTGGGTTGCAACCTTTGGACGATCAGATGTCATTGGTCAGCCGATATCTGGTATGGATGGTCAAAAGTTAGAATGATTACAAAGTGGGCTGCATCCTTTGGATGGTCTGATGTCACCGGTCAGCAGATATCCGATATGGATGGTCAAAAGTTAGACTAGATACAAAGTGGGCTGCACTCTTTGAATGTTTGTGATATCAGTTACACTACATTAACTATAAGGTTTATGTTCTCGCACCCCTCAACCACTAATGGTCTCAAATAAATGAACCTAGCTCTTGTTTTTAATCAAATCAGGTTGTGTAGATTCATGATATCACATTTACGCATGAGATTAACTATAATGTTTATGTTCCTCGCACCCCTCAACCACTAATGGTCTCAAATAAATGAACCTAGCTCTTGTTTTTAATCAAATCAGGTTGTGTAGATTCATGGTTTCACATTTACACATGGTGGTCTCTTTATGACGTGTGTCCAGTCATATTTTTTCATGCATGCAGCCTAAACAAGTGAGGGCCTCCTTTGGTTTGTAGGATTTTTGTAGGAATTTCATAGGATAGGGTTTTTTTAGGAAAAATTCCTTTAGAGCCCTTTGATTTGTAGGAATGGAATCCTATTCCTATGTAGGAATTCTTCCTATCCTCCACATTTCATAGGAAAAAAACATTAGCCTAGACTCAATGGAAAAAATCCTATGAAGTGAATCAAAGGACATCTTCTTTCCTATTCCTACTCATAGAATTTGAGATGCATGTCATCTCATTTCCTATGACTTTTCTATTCCTATGATTTCCCTATCCTATGAACCAAAGGAGGCCGAATGTTTGTCACACTGGCTTTTGGTGTATATGCATACCACTTCCTAATGTACATTATAATATGCATACAACTTCAAAGGTACCACAGGCGGGGAGTATTATGTTTTCTTCTTCGAGAAACATAGTACAAAGGCAGACATTCACATACATGCACAAGCACGAACACTCATCCTTATGAACGCACACACTCATAGCCCATCTCTATGAGCACCTCCGAGAGACAAGACCGGCGAATCTTAAGACGAAATTTCTTCGACGAGCCAAAAAAAATGATAATTATCATAATATTTCTTTCACAGATAAGGTAAGCATCATCACTGTCAGAAAAAAATGAGCTGAAACAATTCGTTCGATAAATGCACTGTGACTCGTGTCTGTTGTATATTATAGTGTCAGATAGGAAACTATGGCACAAATGTGTACTGCAGCTATGAATATATAAATGATGAGATGCTTTAATAAATATATATATTTGTAAATATATAGTTTGATACATTTAGAATCATGCAAAAACATACATCACAATGGCTGGGGCACCTGTCACCGTAATGAGGTAGGGTCATTGTCGGCACCCATGTCTGACGTGTACATGCCCAACCAAAAAAAGCAGCGGCTCGCCTCCAGCATTGCTGACGGCGAGCTCGTCTACGTCTAGGTCGCACGCATTCATGAACTCATGATAGGCTATTCCTTATTTGGTCATAGTGGGGATGTAACACGGGGGAAATTGTATTTTCTTGCGTCACTCAACACCATTAATAACCAAAATTGACGGAATTTCGTATTAGGAACAAAACTTCAACCATGTGTCAAATATGGAAGATTTTTTAAGGACAAATATGAAACCACATTTTTATTCAGGGTCAAATAAGGAATTCTCTAAAGAAGGAAAAGAGTGAAACCTTAATGAATTTATCACTGCAAGTCCACAACCACTGTTTCACCTCCCCAACATGAGTTGTGGCGAGAAAGAGTGGACTGACTGGGAAGAGCATTAATGAGATGGTAGGTATGTGATGGCTGTTTGATGGTTGTCTATCCTTGAGCAGTGTTCTTTTTCAAGAGGAAAGAAAGTAATGGAGATTATATATAGACTAACAGACAATCTAGAAACACACATGTATTTTTTTCAAAAAGGAGGCTTGACCCTCGGCATCTGCACCATTAGGATGCACACAACCTATAAACATACATGTGCTACAACATTGCACAAACAATCAAGGAAAATAAAAATACAGAGAAGCCCATAGGGGTCCCTGAGCGACAACCATCTCGCCATCAGTCTTCACCGTTGCGAGAGAAGAGAAGCAAACCATGAACTAGAAAGCACCTTCACAGACTCCTTTCATGGACCACGAGAGTGCACAGCTACAGGCGTGCCAATGACGTTGTGGAACATCGGCAGGAAAAGACCCCCATACTTCTCGAGCGCAAGATCAACCTCCACTGGAAATTGTAACTTGTATTTTCGAGCATGAACACACTCAATCAACATGGCATGTTTAGAAAGAAGCAGACAATCACATGTTGCATATTACTTAGCACAATCTAGAAACGACACTAGACAGGTGCCTAAAACATCTTACCACACATGCCTGACACTAAGTTCATGAGATGAGCAAAAGTGCACTAGGACTACCGCGACACTTCAAACCTCAACATGATATGATTTATGACAGCATCCAAGCAACAAGCTACACAACAATACATAAGAGTTCATTTGAATAGGACACTAGTAGACGAAACACAACAAATCACATCAGAGTTCATAACTTCATGTGAATAGTACACTAGTAGACTAAACACAACAACTTCATGGCACTAGATCCGAGGGCCTCAAGTTTGAATAACGAGGATGATCTGATCATATATAGATCGAAATCGAACCCTGCATAAGCAACAAAGGATACATTGACCAGCACATGAAAGTCTCATACTAGAAGGAATGCAGGGAATGTTGTGAGAAATTCTGTTGGTTGATGTGGCTATCAAAATGCTTGAATTCAAACGAACTCTTCGGTTTTAGTCTAACTAGCTATCAGGGCATAATCTGAGAAATTCTTGTAATGGGACAATAATGGAACATGAAACTGAGCAGATGTTTTAACTTAAATTTGGTAGGAAGCATTTTGGGTAGCGCTTACAGAAACAACCATAAAGGAGGGTGTCAAACTGTCCTAGTCCAGTAAAAAATGCACACTTCAGATTTGTGCCTTCGGTACTACCTAAATTAGTCAAAACCACCTTACATTACCTAATCAAGCATTCTGTTGAGGAAATTAATAGTTTCTGTTGCTGCGCTAAGCTCCCTACTCTTGTGCGAAGGTGAAGAAACTCGTTCACAAATCTGCTGGACCCACTAATGGCGGCATAGTTGTTGGGGTCATCGATGTGCAGGGCGGGCACATACTTCCAAAGTGTGCTCCAGCGCTTAGCAAGAACACACGTCCGTACAGAGTCACGAGAAGGCAGGAACAACAAAAGATAGCAAAAGATCATTTGGGAGGGCCCTGCCCCCTAGCTAGAGTCGTTTCCATCGTTTCCTCGCTATTAAGCCTCTCCGACATTATGTCAAAAAGGTTGCCTACGCCGAAGCTGTAGAGTTGTTGGATGTGGTGAGTCAGTGAGTGAGACCAGCCAAATGGAGAAGATACACAATAATCATGAGCTCACCAGATTAGCTCACCTACAGCCGCCGCTAGTCATGCTCCTCCACCTCCTCCTCGACGGTGCTCAGTTCTCCAAGCAACGCGAGAGGGGACACTTCTCTCATGCCTTCTCACCTTAACTTGGTGG